GCCTGAACAATGGCATCAATATTCTAACATTTCACAGAGATGTTCAGTTGGCAGAATAGCTGAAGGACAGAGTGCCTTTTTTCAGTGTGCACATAAAACTACGAGAGCCAACTGACACTCCGACTGAACAGTTGCCCAGGTGGTTATCATTCACAGGGTTTTCATCCCACACCTGCAACAACAGGGATGATCCAGGCTTGCAGTTGAGGAAGCTGAATTCTGAGGCCCAGCTGGGGTTGGCTGAGCCCCTAACGGTGTCGGTCCTGCCGCCGTAGACTCCGCTGCAGTACACCTTGACGTGCACGTCGGTGTGGTTGAGAACACCATCGCCTGGCAGGTTGTTGGCTCGGAGGCCCTGCACACGGACAGCAGCATCGCTTAACATCACATGAGATGTCAGAACCAGGACGGTAAGGTAGATCAGGTGAGGAGAGAAGACCATGATGTTTGTCTGTGAAGAGCAAGAAAATAACACCAGATGAAACTACACAGCATTTCAAATCAATCATTTCATACAAGTAGAGAATTGCCAGTTATGCCAGAATATGCAAGAGCCTGCAATGAGAAGCCACCATCATAAGAGTTAAGGAGTACAGTAGACCTACATTTGAATCAGCACTGGAGTTTTGGAGCTCTGGATGAATGGACAAGTTGTAGTTCTTGGTGAGCAGCTTAGCTCAGCTCCAATTTAAAGAAGATCTGTTCTCAAGCCAACCTTGAGCTTATCTACAGTTAATCTAGTCTGATATAAACCGTGTCGTTAGTGGGTTTTCACTTTAACCCTATTCTAACTAACATCTCTAGTACTACTGCATGTCTCCGATCTGATGTCAGTGTATATATTCTAGCAACCTAGCAACAGACGAGGTATTTTAGTCACTGATTGGTAAAATAGGTTTGAATAGGTAGAAAATAGGTTACCTTGTGTAGAAGACAATAAAGCATCTCATCTAACGTTAAACTGTTAGCTCTAGCATTTAACCCACAGTGGCTGAAAAAGTTCCCTTTGCCTTTAGATGAGCAAGGCAGTTTATTTTTGTATAAAAAATCATATGTGTCCACATGCGGTAAGTTTCGCTCATACAAGTGTTCCTGATATAGTGGTGTGGGATCGTTCTATAAATCATCACCTTTTAGGCCAATACAAAGATGGCGAAAGTCCCCCAGGTGAGGATGGAGAAAATGCCCTGCTATTGTATGTGAACAAAGACAACGCTTCCAGAAAACCAATACCAGTGAGGAACCCTCAGGACCTTCTGGGCCTTCAAAATGGTCAAAGTAGGACTTTTTCCCCCATGGTGTCTACATAGATACAGCCAAGTAAGCTCTCCCATTGATTGGAGAGCTTGCTTAGCTGTAGTGGAATCAACCATTATGATTTGATTTACAATGGGTGGAAGTTCTAGATATATCACTTACTGTGAATACCAGTGTTAGTCTATTCAGCTTTCAGTCAATTATAGTGATGGGAAGTTTGAATCATTTGGTGAGCACCCAACCAAGGCAATTAAACCAACAGCATCATGGGCAGTTGCTCAACTCGGCAAAGTAAAAGAAAACACAGCGAGTTAGTTCTGTAAAGAATGATTACAGTTTACAGTATTAACAGAGTGCAGCAGAGACTCCGGCAGGTCGAGCTATCACAACCTAACTAAAATGGAGAGCCAGAAGGTAACATGAGGCTCCCTGAGATGTCGGCACCCTTCCGCTCCTCTGTCAACAAATCTGAGTGAACACGTAAGAACAGCGGGACGACAGCACCAACACTCCCAGTTTACCATAATACTCTATGTCCATGAACCCACAGATCTGTGCTCTTTAGCTCATGGGAAAAACTAATTACCCAAGGCTTGATTAAACAAGAAGGTTTTTAGCCTAGACTTAAAGACTGAGGCTGTGTCGGAGTCCCAAACAACGAACGAACCAGGAAGGAACAAGACATGAACTGGTTTCTGTTTATTTTTTACCATTTAATGCATGCTAGGATAATGTTACAACCACACTAGGACCACAGTGAGTCTTCCAAGAATGTGATTATTTACACTATTAACAATATTTATAAAATGGCAGTTATACCTGCTGCTAAAGTGAAAGAGATTCTAGAGATTGACAGCACTAAAGGAAATGAACTGAAATGAAAGAAATCATCAAAAAAAAACTAACAAAAAAAATCTATCCTACCTCTGTAGTTAAGGTTCTCACCTAACAGCAAAACAAAAGAGCTATCTACACTGATCGCACCTATACCAAAATTGTAAATACAAAGCATGGCGCCCACCCCTTACCTAATGTGTCTATACATTGGGCTACTACGTGGCGTAAAAGGTATGAAAAATGTATCTAGCCTGTCCAGAACCCCAAGAAAGCACCGCAGCGTATGAAAGAGGAATATAACCAGAGAGATGCAAAGCAGCGAGGCAAAGCTAGTATGATTTAACTACCTGTGATGGACTGGTGACCTGTCCAAGGTGTGTCCTGCCTTCTGCCCAGTGACTGCTGGGATAGGCTCCAGCACCACTCCGCAACCCAGAAGGATAAGCAGTTTAGAAAATGTGTATGTGTGTGTGATTTAACTAAGAGGCATAAAGGCACAAAGCTGACATGGTTAAGACAAATCACCAAACTGGCATGACAGAACTATCGCAGATACTAGAATCAGCAATATACAAAAGCTACATGAGTAAAACAGTACAAAGCTTATGTGTCTGCATGTATGACCAACAAAGAACAATAGCACACTACACAGCTATGAGCACAGGGGGAACTCAGGCCTCTCGATGAGCTTTGCCGGGCTGCTTTTAAATCTGAGGTCCCTCCCCCAGTGCCGGAACTCTGCGTGATGATTGGTCATCAAATGGTAGACGTCGAGCCTCTAACGGCGACTGACGCCTCGACCAACCTATTAAACAGATAGGAACCAGGCAGGGGAGGAGACATGTGAGACAAACAGTGGAAGAGAGAGACAGCGAATGAGCGAGAAAACGAGAGGGAGAGAGAGAGAGAGAGATCCAGCCTGGACACGTAACATAGAATACAATTGTACAACAAATTCCAGACACACAAGAATTTTACCACTTTACTATCTTCTCTGTTGTCCCTTTTCTTTGATGGATGTCAGGCTTAATTGCCCAACATCACTGTACAATCTCACTGCTGCTCTTGTGGCTGAATAAAAGTGAATTCCTGCAGCCATGTTACAGAAATGTAGTGTAACGCATCATAACTCTGTCATTAACATGGTAAAAACATTAGTGTCAAAATCTTTGTCATATTGAAATAAACATGAGTGCATAATAGGCAGCATTTTTTGCTTCAAAATGTGTACACAGATGTGGAGGATACCAAAGAATATCCTCTCATACCATGACAGGCCCTAGCTTTTGAACTTTCTGCTGCTTACAATCAGGATGGTCCTTTACGTTTTCGTTTTAGGGAACAAACATCAGTTATTTCCATAAACAATCTGACTCGTCAGACCACAATGCGTGTTTCCAGTGCATCAGTCCATTTCAGATAAGCTCAGGCCCAGAGAAGTCGGCGGTGTTTCTGGATGCTATTGACATATGACTTCCACTGTATAATGTATTTGTGGACACAGCTACAGACGGTGTTTATTGACAACAGTTTGTAAAAGTGTTCCTAAGCAAATTGGGTTTAGTTTTTAATGTAGTGCAATCTGAAGGGTCAAAGGCTACAGACATGTATTTGTAGCTTTTGGCCATTATTCTCTTGATTCCTTGAATTTTTTGATGTTATACACAGTTGAAGGTGAAATGCCTAAAATCCTTGCAATCTTTTGCTGAGGAATGTTATTTTTTAAACAGTTGGATTTTTTGCTGATGCATTTTGGCAAAGTGGCAAGCCTTAACATATCCCAGCTCATTAAGGACTTGATCTTTCCTGGATGCTTCTTTTATATCCATACATGTTTAAAATGTTTTTTGAACATTTCACAATATTTTCAGTCTTACATTGTCCCTGCCCCAACTTTTTTGTAATGTGTTGCATTTATCAATTTCAGAATGAGCTAAACAATGATGTCCATAAAATAAAACATTAAATATTAAATAATATAAATATCTTGACTTTGTACTGTTTGAATTGTACAAATACAGCTTAAAATAAATTTACAACTGCATTAAGTATAATTTGCATTTTACTTCTTGTTCCAACTTTTTTGGAATTGGGTTTGTCACTGAATACATTTGAATCTATAATAAAAAAAATAATTTGGAAATGTTTTGTTTTTGAGCTCATTACTCAGAGTTACTCAGTGATTGTTGTCATAGCCACCTGATCAAATTGCTATGCTCCAAAAAAATGTTTAACATTTCACTGCACTCCTTTTTCTGTTCTATGTTTCTATCAAGATGACAGTGAATTTTATTTTTGCAGAGAGCTGCCTTATTGGTTCATATCAGCACAAAATAATAATAATGAAAAAAACAATGACACAGTTGCTGAGGTCAAGTAAAGTTTATTTTTACTGTGTGTATTGTAACAAAGGTAGACATACAGGTAATAGAGGTTAAGTATCTCTGTTTTTATTCAACAGAATGATCACATATTCTCAACATGAATGGATTTAATACAAGAGACTAGTGAAAGTTCTTTGGCCCAGCTTTAAATCAGTGAGTTACTAGCATGCCATCTACATTGGCAAGTAACCTCAGAGCTCCATATGAGTGAAATTTTGGTTCTATCTGTGACCATGTTAACTTTCTCTAACTGAAAATCTTCAGACTTATTTGTATAAAGTTCAAATCTGTTTTCCACCACATAACAGGGCAGCTTTTGCTGCACCACAACTGCCATGCAATGTGCAGGTCTGGCAAGCTCTTCACAGTGGAACTTTACTGTTCAGAAAAAGACTTTTCAGTATTTGAGTAAAGACAAAAGGTTTGAAATACAGCACTTTTGCAAGAATCAAAGCATTAACAAAATTAACTATGTTTGTTCCATTAGCAGATAAGTATCCTTTTTGTGATACTCAGTGAAAACTAAATGCTACTTGAATGTTGGCTTTCCCCAGAGGTGGTGTAAGCTGTTCCCTGGATTGTGTTCTGGTCATCCTCCTCCTTGACTGCATTCTCAATCTTCAACCAAAGAGCATAACATTGCTCCTTAATGTCTTTTCCCATGAACACATAAAGAAACAGATTCAGACAGCTGTTGGCACTGGCAAGAATGAGACTAAATACATATGCGGTGTCCAATGAATCGTCATATGTCATGAATAAGTCCATCAAAATAACAGTGTGATATGGTAGCCAGCAGATCAAGAAAGTAACAATCAGTACAGTCATAATCTTAAATGGCTTTTTGGATCTCGCCGTCTGGTTGGACTTCAGCTTTCGTATGATGACAATATAACAGATAATGATGATCAGGAACGGGACCACAAATAAAAAAAAGAATCGGCATACTACGGTAGCAATATAATTTTGCAAATTAATGTAAATGCATATAAAAACTGATTCGATCTCATATGTGTCTCGGAAAACAGCCGTTGGTGTGCTAAGTGCGGCTGAGATGATACAAGCTAGCACAACAATCACAGAGGCCTTTCTTACAGTGCGCATGTTCTGAGCCCAGACAGGAAACGTAACAATCACACAGCGGTCCACACTGATGATGACGAGGAGGAAGATGCTGCTGTACATGTTGAGGAACAAGATGAAGTAACTGAACTTGCACATGAAACGCCCAAAGAGCCACTCTTCTTTGACTATGTTAACGACTCTGAATGGCAGGAAGGAGCAGAATATGAAGTCAGACACAGCCAGGCTCAGGTACCAGGTACTAATGACTGACTTCTTCACCTTAAACCCTGCAATCCAGATCACCAAACCTTTTCCAGCAACACCCAGGACAATGATGATCACATTAGTTACTGCATAGAAAATACACAAGGCATCGCAAGATGGTGAATCCATAGTCTGATTCATAGGGTAGTCCATGTATGTAATTACTACATAGTCAGGATATTCTTCTGTCCATGGGGTTGAATTCATGATGCTTCTTGATTTCTGTACATTAAACACAGATAAGGGTAGTTCTGTTAAGTACTGATGAGAAATGAGCAAATAAAAGTAAGTTTTATATATTTAAATATTTTAAATAAATTAAATATGACTTATTTGTACAAATATAATTTTTATTTAATTCATGTTAAATTCAGCAAGTAAACAGTAATTGTGCATTAAAATCTGCCGAAGTGTGTTCTCTGTTGAGGATGTATTAGCTTATTGTCACCTAAATTAATAAAACATTGTCATCTGACTAGGAACGCACAAACTTTTGCATCCGACTTGTTATACATATAAGGTATATATTGTGAGTTTTATAGCACTGCTGCACTATACAATGAAATCTGGCAGCTGTACTGTTGAACTCTCACATCTGGATCAAACAAATCAAGACAAACTCAACTGTGCAGAGAAAAACTGAGAAGCTGATGTTGATCTCTCCAATAGAGACACAACATAAACATGTATTTGTATTGTGTATGTTCTGAAAAGTTTTGGTACACAAGGATAAGTTTGTATGGATAAGATCACTACTCGCATGTTGGGCATAATATAGGCAAATCAAGGCAAATCTATGTATATGGCTATGTATACACCATGACAGGCCCTAGCTTTTGAACTTTCTGCTGCTAACAATCAGGATGGTCCTTTATGTTTTCGTTTTGGGGAACACAACGTCAGTTATTTCCATAAACAATCGGAAAGGTTGACTCGTCAGACCACAATGCGTGTTTCCAGTGCATCAGATGAGCTCAGGCCCAGAGAAGTTGGCAGTGTTTCTGGATGCTACTGACATATGACTTCCACTGTGTAATGTATTTATGGACGCAGCTACAGACAGTGTTTATTGACAACAGTTTGTAAAAGTGTTCCTAAGCAAATTGGGTGATATCCATCACAAAAACAAGCTAGTTTTGTTAGCTAGTTAATATAGTGCAATCTGAAGGGTCAATGGTCAGACATTTATTTCTAGCTTTTGGTCATAATTCTCTTGATTCCTTGAATTTTTTTTATGTTATACACAGTTGAAGGTGAAATACCTAAAATCCTTGCAATCTTTTGCTCAGGGTATGTTACTTTTTAAACTGTTGGATTTTTTGCTGATGCATTTTGGCAAAGCGGTGAGCCTTAACATATCCCTGCTCATTAAGGACTTAAACATGTATTTGCATTGTGTATGTTCTGAAAGGTTTTGGTACACAAGGATAAGTTTGTATGCCAAAGACCACTACTTGCATGTTTGGGCATAATATAGGCACATCAAGGCAAATCTATGTATATAGCACATTTTATACACAAAAGCAATTTGCACCATTAAAACAGAATAAAACCAGCATAAAGAGCATCTTGTTTATATTTGAATGAAAATGACTCACTTGTCAATGGCTGCTTCAGTTCAGATGATGAGGGACAAACTTTATCTATCCGGAAAATTTCACGAACCTTTGCAGTTCCTCTCTGCGCTGAGTTTAGTTCTAAGAATTTAACAAGTTGAAAACCACACAGCTGTTTCTGCTGAAAAATGAGCTTAAGCAAGCACAAAGCTAGATACATGCCATGCAGGGGTAGATTAACTTGACCCTGGGCCCCATAAACCTGCCCTTGCTTAGCCCTTTAAATGGTCAGGTCCACATTTTTATTACACACTTCAGCAGCAACTCAGCAACTTTGCATTGTAGTAGCCCATATAATTAATGATTAATAGGCCAATGGATAGAAAGAGCCATTGAAAAGTAAGACTACAGCAATATTTGTATAACATTTTATTTGCTAAAACAGTTTAAGTACTTGCTACAACAGTAAAAAAAAATATTTTTTTCTAAGAAAAACTCATTTATTCATCTGAGAGGAAAAGGTCATTTTCTACAAGTTAATTTTGTATTGAAAAGACAACTACTGTCATAAGCCATCTCAGTGGAGGGCAAGGACAAAGGGTGGGTGACACTGGATCTTATTTATGCAAGGCATGTTTGTTTATGTAGCATATTTAATGTACAAAGGCATTTCAAAGTGCATGAATAAAACCAGCAAACATTACAAAAAAAGAGATCAAAATCTAGAAGTTGGCTTGACAAAGCCAGCTGATAATGTTGAATAGATAAACCAGTTGTAGACTGTTTAGGGTTTATTTGGTATTGAATGGTTAAATGTAGAGGGTTGTTTATGCTGTGTTATGCTGTGTCCAGTTGCTTTTAGGTTATTTTACATTAAAGTGGTTATTTTCATTGATTGATTGTTGCCAGGTGGTTGAGATGGTGTTCCATGTGGTTGCTTAGGTTTTGCTACCCAGTTGCTATGGTACTCCAGCTGGTTGGTAGGGTGTTGGTAAACAGTTGAATCCAAGGTGATTGCTGTAGTGTTTCATGCGGTTGCTGGAGTGTTGTTAAGGTGATTACAATGGTGTTTCCAGAGCTAGGTAGTTAGTAGTGGTATCCCAGGTTGTTTCTAGGTTGTCGCTATGGTATCCCAGTTGTTTACAAGGGCGCTGCTAGTGTATGTATCATACTGACACAAGTGGAATGGATAAACTTTTGACTACATAGTGTAAAATGACCGGTGCAATAAGAGATATAAATATAAGGAGAATTATTCAGTTTAAAGATGTTGATCATTCCTCTATTCAAGGGCTTAGCCAGAGCTCTCACAATGGGGTTAGACCTAGTGAATTTATTGCGGTGGCAAAAAGAAAAAAATAAAAAGTAAACTGAAAAACAAAAGTTATTATAATTTCTGTATTTGCATCATTCATGAGGAAATTTTGAAAACATTTGAATCAAGTAAATTGAATGAATCACTTTTTTCATTGCATTAACATTATTTTAGATAATAATTAATGTTAATATTAGAAGTTAGGCTACCCACACTACGCTCATTAGTCTACTGATAAAGCAGCCAGACAGCAAAGTATAAGGTAACAGGCGAACAGCCTTTGGCTACCTGACAAGCTGATCTACACTGTTTACATAACACATCATAGAGGAAAAATATAATGCTTGGAAGGCAGAGGCAGCAGCTTTGGTCATCATGAGCAGTTCCTTCTCTTCGCCATACTCTTCTCTTCCCATCATTCTGGTTGATCTTTGTCCCATCTGTCGATAAAATGTTGTTCTAGAACTGTCCAGGTTTTTAGATGTGTTTTGGCAGACTCTAATCTGGTCTCCCTGTTTTTGATCAGTGATTTACATCTTATGGTAAAACCTCTGTATGTTGTATGTGCTCTAGTGGTACATTTTTCATTCATCAAGGTACAAACAATGTAAATGTACCTCAAAGGTACAACAGTGGTTTTAAGGTCCAATTGTGAACCTTAAATACGTTTTTCCAGGTGAAAAGTATGTATTTTATGAAAATTAAAGTATGAAAATTACCTTTTCATTTTCTAATTTTTAAAATAGAACAATAAAATAAAAAGCCTGGAGACGAGACGGGGTGTGTGGAGTCAATACAACTTAGAAAATATAATTTCAATGTATTATGGTACAATTATGTTCCCTAACTAAAGGTACTGAGATATACCCTCGAGGGTACCACCCCAGTGACAAGAGGGGTACTGCTATGAGGGAAAGAGACATTATATACGTTTAACTGACACATCAAACCACTGACGGACATCATCCCTCTGCTCCTTCGTTCTGGGAGAACTTTTAGGACTGAGTGGGACCAATAATATTGTTGATATGTGGTAACCGATCGTGTCACATCAGTCACATGGTGAGATTTACCACTGAAACACACATTGCATGGGAGATATAACTGCCCTATAACTCTGCATAGACTTTCTCTCTTTGCATCTCAATCTGCGTGTGTTGTAGCGACACGACCCCAATGCGGTCAGTTCTCGGTTCACTGTAATGAAAATATGACACTGACTTAAGCAGTGCAGCTACTGCAGATTTTGAAAATATGAAAATGATGAAAAACTCCTCATGGGTCTTTATTACATTTAAATTATTATAAAGTAAAGAATGTTTTATTATCATTATTTTTTAACAATTGCAATCTGAAAATAAGGGGAGTGCTGCAGCACCCTCAGCACCCCCTGATTGGAATTTCTTTTGATTTTTCAGCCTAATGATGGCTTGCTTCACTGGAAGTGAAACTTCATTTTGAGAGTTATCAGCATTCCCCACTTTCCGTGTCCCTGAATCTGGCTGAATCAGGATTAAGGGGCATATGAAAACTTGATAAAGTCATTTTCATGATTTTCTTCTATCATCTATAGTTTTTGTGGTGTTTTTACTATGATTCGGCAGAGAAAGAGTAACTTTTTCCACCATTTTCTTCTGTTCGATTTAAACTGACCGGGACTAAATTTGACATAGATTTGTCGAAGTACCAATCAGAGTTAGCAGTATGTATACATCAGCTACTCGCGTTCCTCTCCATCACATATAGTGACTGCTCTCCCGCTGCTACAAATACCAGACAAAACTCCCAGCAAAGGATTTGTTAACGATGCTTGTTATGAAGGTTTATTTTACTACACTGTTGTTTGTAGTGTAGCTAGATGCTGCCTCCTACTTGCCACCTTTTGCAGGATCCTACAAGTGATTAACTTCATTAATGAAAATGCAGCATCTAGCAGCCCTCTTTAACTGTGAGAATAAAAGGATATGTTAGCTTAGTGTTATGTAGCTACCTCTCCTAACATCAATGCGCACACATTTTACTGTTAAAACATAAATTAAAACATTTTAAACTATGTTGACAGGGGCTTAAAAAGGTTTCCCAAATATATTCCTTCATAGCCTGGGTCTCAGCCACAGAAAAGAGGTAAACCCAATTACAGGGAGCCACCGTGGTGATAAGGAGGGGGACATGTGGCTTTATTGTTGATGAAAAAGTGTCCATGTGACTGTGAAATGTATAGCATGTGGAATAGGTAGCACACAGGACAAAATAATTTTGGGGTCTTTTAATTTGTTTATTGGTTCAGCTGAGGAGACAACTTGGAACAGTGGTGAGTCTTCCTAGAAATGGCCAGCCTACCAAATGTCCTGCAAGAGCACAATGACGACTCATCCAGGAAGTCACAAAAGAACCCAGGTTGTATGGAACTGCAGGCCTTGCTCACCTCAGACAAGGTCAGTGTTCATTCTACCAGCAGAAAGAGAGTGGGTTAATATGGTCTCAGTGGGAGAGCTGCAAGCCGAAAGCCACTGCTAACCAAGAGGAACATAAAGTCTTTTCTCACATTTGGTGGTGGTGATGTGATGAGTCAGGATACTTTCCTGCTTTAGGGCCTGGGCAACTTGCCACAAATGACAGAACCATGAATTCTGCTCTGTACCAGAAAATCCTGCAGGAAAACAATCAGTCTGTGATCTGAAGCTCAAAAGCAATTGAGTTACGCAGCAAGACAACGATATATAGCAGAAGACCTCTGAATGGCTCAAAAGAAACCAAATAAGGTGGCCTAGTTAAAGTCCTGACTTAAACCCAATTGAGATGCTGGACCTTAAACGGGCAGTTTGTGCTCGAAAGCTCTCCGATGTGGCTAAATTAAAGCAATTTTGAAAAATAGTGGGCCAGAATTCCTCCACAGTGATGTGAAAGACCGATCTCCAGTTATAGGAAGCGATTGGTCGCAGCTGTTGCTGCTAAAGGCAGCACAACCAGTTATCAATTTGTTTGGTGGGTAAAACTTTTAGCCTTCAACAAATGAAATGATCATCTATAAACAATGTTTTGTGTTTCTTCATGTTTGTCTTATATTTAGTGTGTTTTATTTGCCTTTGTCTTATATTACATTTCGTATGAAGACCTGAAACCACTTAGTATGACAAATATACAAAAATACAGAAAATCAGGTGGGGGCAAATACTTTTTCACAGCACCATACTTGTGTGTTTGTTACAGGCTATGTTGTTTAAAACAAAGAACATGAAGGACTGTACTTGGCTAGACAGCTGCTGCTTTACAGAGTGCGTCTAGCGCAACCTCACATTATATCCAAATCCATGGTTTTTAAATACTTTACACTGGTAACATGCTTATCAGCCACTGGGTTAGCCTTTTCTCACATTGTACTCAATGTTTTATCCACCTTGAAATAAGCTCATGTTATAAACGCTCAATACACAGGAGAATGCCATGTTATTGTCTGTGATAAAAATGAAAAGATAACTCAGTAGAGCTACTAATACTACCACTGTACAAACAGTATAAAATAATTTTAACTAACTATAAATTCTGAGAGCCTCAGCCTGAAGCCTGCGTAACATGGGTACTATCCTGTCATATTTCCCTAATCAACATGTCTTTTTATAGATCTGCTTTTCTGCCTTTGGGCCTGGCTGCCTCGCCATCATAACATTAACAATAAATTCCACACTAAAGCAGTGAGCACTTCAGATTAATGTAAAAAACTGAAGACAGACGCAGTTCCAATACTTCTCTTTAGCATGCCTTTGCCCCACAACACACCACTCAGATGAGCAGAGAGGAGGACGGGAACAACGAGCAGCAGGTTATTCAAACAGAACACACCCCTTCACCCTCCGCTACGTTATCCTCCGTGAGTTAATTGTCTAGCCATGCAAACTTTGTATCGCAAAGCATTTTTTGAACATAAGTGAATGAGTAGTTGCTTTGTCTGGCCATAAACTTTGCTGTAATGCCTTTCTTTTTGTTGTTGTTAGCCATGTAGCATTTTGCATGCTAGCTAGAAAGCTACCAGAGGAGAGTGATGAAGTTGTATCAGCAGTCGTGTACAACAGGTGGAGTAGTTTGCAAACTAAAGCCCAGAAAATTGAATGTTAAGCCTTTGAAATGTTAGGCATTTTAAATTATCACTACAGCTTTTGGCTTTAGGCCCAATCCCACTTCACCCCTTAACCCCTACCACCTAGCCCTCCATTTTGCGTGTTCATGTCTAGGGGTAGGGTGACCCGATTTTTGTTGAGATGGAGGGGTAGGGTGAAGTGTTAGTGCTACACAGCCCTACAAACGGAGGTTTTTCAGAGGCCCACTCCAAACAGAGTAATATGGGAAAAAAGCAAGATGGCAGCGCAAGAGGCCAAAGAAACCCACAAATGTAAGTATATTATCCATTAAAACATGATGATAATCACTGTTTTATTTTAGTTTCATGTTGTTTCAATGTATTATGCTGCTTTTCATAACAAGAATAAAAATTACAAACAGTACTCTGATGTCTTGGAAGCTAGCTAGCTAAATTTTCTCATTCCACCTTAAAAGGTGCAGCAGTTACATTCTGGCACCTCAGGCCTCAAGAAGCTGGTGAATAGCTGACTTCAGTTTTATATCCCTGAAGAATTAGGGGTGGGTGATAATAAATAATTGCCCCTCCCCCCTTTAAAGGCATATTATTCCCTAAATGTAACTAAAGCCCCGCAGTGAGGAGCTGAACTTTACCCTCCTCTGCTGTCACTGCAGACTGGCAGGGTCGCCTACAGAGCAACGTTAGTAGCTGTTAATGAAGCAATGTTCTTTTTATTTGAGGATCCCATTTCAACCACTACAACTTGTAACTCAGTTCCGAGGGGCAAGGTGACACTCAAAAACAATGGGTAGAGGTAAAAATAAGAAATAGGATTGGGCCTAAAGTTGAAAAGGTACATGTATGGAGTTGTGAGGCAAAATGGTCCCTGAAGAAAACTTGTGTTTTCAAATTTATCACTATTTTCCCATCATCGATTTTACATATAAAACTCAGAAGACATGTGTAGGTTCACTGGTGGGTTTAGATAGTAAATAAAATGGCTATATTTGTGTTGTAGTCATGGTGACCCCTGGTTCCTATCACCACCACTGTACAGAAATTCCTCTACAATGAACCATTACCTAAAATTGGTAGAATTGCCATTTAACACTTTCAAATAAATAATATAAACTTTGTAACAGAATAGCAAAATAACTGTGACTAGCAATTGAATTGTCCTCCAAGAAATTCAAAGAGAATTTAAGCCTATAAACTACAAGAAACACTCCAACTGGATTATATTTAAAAACCTGAAGTACTGAGGACTGCAAGTCAAAGAACAAGGCTGACCCCTAGTGGGTACCAGGAGAAATTACATCCTCATCAACTAAAATAAAACCCCCATATATTTAGGCTGTAGAACATGAGAGTGTGTGTAACTGTATGTAATGCATGTGATAACCCACTTGGATCCCAGGTTTACTGCACATATTGCCTATAAGGAAAGGGGTCCCGATTGCCAGCCCATTGTTAACCCATGTGGGGCCCACATGGACATATTGGGTGGGTTATCACAAATAACATAAAGACTGTGGTTTGGTCCTGGGCACGAACTGAAGATACTTTATAGTAGATCATCACAGGCATAATGTTATTCATGACAACACACAACCTCAAGTGTTGTATCAACAGATATGTATAACAGATTGAGTAGTTTGCAACCTACTAAGTCCCAGCAAATTGAATGTTATGGTTTTTAAATAGTACGTATTTTAAATTAGTTTATTGCTCTAGCTTATAAACAGCTTTGTTCATTATATGTTAGGTTTAAAAAGCGTCAGATCGCAACAATACTGATCTAATAAACTTCACTTGATCTAAGAAAGTTATGGAACATTTTGTTAAATTCAGACACTAATTCTTTACACCTCAGAAAAATGTATTTATGTTGTTTTTCCTCAGTAAATGACTTATATTATATTATATAATAATATTATATAATAATATTAAATGAACTAGAAACATTTCCTGAATTAAATGCAGAGTAATTGTGCAGCTTAGGCAATGAACAGACAGTTGCTAGGGTGTTGCCAGGCAGTTACTATGGTTTTTGTTAGGCTGTGGTTAGATGGTTGCTAGGGTGTCACTATGTGTTGATATGCTATCCCATGTGGTTGCGATGATATCTCAAGTGGTTTCCTGGTGCTTACTAGGTTTTTGCTAAGGTCCTCCAGGTGGCTGCTATGGTATCCCAGGTGGTTCCTAGGGGTGGCTTGGGGGGTGCTATATGGTTGCTATAGTATATCACATGATTGGTTGTTGCTCATTGACTTGTACCATGATGATTTAAGTTTTAATATTATTAAAAGTATAAAAATATAAAAATTATTAATATTATGAAAAGACATGAAAATATGCATACATATACGCTGTATTGCCAAAAGTATTTACTCACCCATCCAAATAATTGAATTCAGGTGTTCCAATCACTTCCATGGCCACAGGTGTATAAAACCAAGCACCTAGGCATGCAGACTGCTTCTTCAAACATTTGTGAAAGAATGGGTCGCTCTCAAGAGCACAGTGAATTCCAGCGTGGTACCGTGATAAGATGCTACCTGTGCTACAAGTCCAGTTGTGAAATTTCCTTGCTACTAAATATTCCACAGTCAACTGTCAGTGTTATTATAACAAACTGGAAGCGATTGGGAATGACAGCAACTCAGCCACAAAGTGGTAGACCGACAATGACAGAAAATGACAGAGCGGGGTCAGTGAATACTGAGGCGCATAGTGCGCAGAGGTCGCCAACTTTCTGCAGAGTCAAACGCTACAGACCTCCAAACTTCATGTGGCCTTCAGATTAGCTCAAGAACAGCGTGGAGAGCTTCATGGAATGGGTTTCCATGGCCAAGCAGCTGCATCCAAGGCTTACATCACCAAGCGCAATGCAAAGCGTCGAATGCAGTGGTGTAAAGCGCCACCACTGGACTCTAGAGCAGTGGAGATGTGTTCTCTGGAGTGACGAATCACGCTTCTCTGTCTGGCAATCCGATGGATGAGTCTGGATTTGGCGGTTGCCAGGAGAATGGTACTTGCCTGACTACATTGTGTCAAGTGTAAAGTTTGGTGGAGGGGGATTATGGTGTGGGGTTGTTTTTCAGGAGTTAGGCTCGGCCCCTTAGTTCCAGTGAAAGGAACTCTTAATGCTTCAGCAGACCAAGAGATTTTGGACAATTTCATGCTCCCAACTTTGTGGGAACAGTTTGGGGATGGCCCCTTCCTGTTCCAACATGACTGTGCACCAGTGCACAAAGCAAGGTCCATAAAGATATGGATGAGCAGGTTTGGTGTGGAAGAACTTGACTGGCCTGCATAGTGTCCTGACCTCAACCCGAGAGAACACCTTTGGGATGCATTAGAGCGGAGACTGCGAGCCAGGCCTTCTCGTCCAACATCAGTGTCTGACCTCACAAATGTGCTTCTGGAAGAATGGTAAAAAATTCCCATAAACACTCCTAAACCTTGTGGAAAGCCTTCCCAGAAGAGTTGAAGCTGTTATAGCCGCAAAGGGTGGGCCGACATCATATTAAACCCTCTGGATTAAGAATGGGATGTCACTCAAGTTCATATGCCTGCGAAGGCAGACGAGCGAATATTTTTGGCAATATAGTGTACAAAATACGTAACCATATGTAGGTCATTAACTGTAGTCTGATGTGAAATGCTTATAGAGTAACTGCTTAATACCTGACACTGTTTTATGACAGTTTTGAGATAAAGGTTTTTTAAAAATGCCTTTATGGTGGAGAAGCACATGCAGGGACCTGTGAAGGAAAACATCCCCATAGAAATTTGTCAGTATTTTACCATCATCAACGTTACGGATAAAACTCAGAAGCCATGTGAAGGTTCTCGGGTGGTTTTGGACAGTAAATAAAATGGCTATATTTGTGTTGTAACCCTGGTTCCCATCACCACCACTGTAAAGAAACAATTTAGAGTCTCTACAATCAACCATTTCACAAAATAAAACAATCTGAAAGACTTTGTTTACAACTCATTGATTAAGTTATGTATAAATATTTTAAAAAAAGTGAACTGCCCTTTAACATACATACATACATACATCATCTAAACCGCTTATCCTTCTGGGTCGCGGTGGGGTGCTGGAGCCTATGCCAGCTGTCATTGGGCGGAAGGCAGGATACACCCTGGACAGGTCGCCAGTCCATCGCAGGGCAGTGCCCTTTAACAATATTAAATAAATAATATGAAGTTTGTAACAAAATAGCAAAATTACTGAGATCAGGAATTTAATTGCCCTCCAAGAAATTCAAAGGGAATTTAAGCCTAGAAACTACAAGAAACCCACAACTGGATTATATTTACTAAACTTGTCATCCATCCCTCCGATTCAGACTCTCCCAGGGACTCCATTTCCCAGAACCCTCTGGGAGATCACATGACTGTAGAACCTCTGCAATCCACCAATCACCGTTCTAAATCACCTGAACACTGATATGTTTCACCTGCTCTGTTTGTCATGTGACTAGTTCAGTTTAGTTTAAAAGCCCGGGCTTTAACTTAGTTTCTTTGTGAGGTATTGCTTCTCCTAGTAGAGCTACTGAGCGGTTCCTGTTTGCTGTTGTTTGCCATTTTTTGTGTTTGACCCCTGTTTCTGGATTTTCTGACTACTTTGGCCTTTTTTGGATCTGGTTGCCTTTGTTATGTCCTTTTTTGTCTTTTGGCTCTATTGGATTTGACCTATGTCTGTTCACTGACTACGATTCATGTTAACCCTTTACAAGTAAACCCTGATTTCAGATTTTTTACGTTACAGGTTGTAAGATCACACAAATGGAAAAGATCAGACATGACTTGTTTTCACATCAGAAATTTCTGCAGTTTTAAGCACACCTGAGTTTAGTTGAGTCATTGTCATTTTTAGGATAAAAATGATTTTTTTAAGGCTCACAGCGAGAGCTAGACTAGAATCCCTTTTCTGCATGCTGATCTGTGCTGAGTTTAATAAAACCGAGTTATGGAGTTACATTTTATTGTCTCTGAGTTTCTCCGGGACCACCCTATGCCACAATATTGAAAGGTACACATTCAATAGCTTTGATATAAGCACTGAGTTTAAATCAAGTCAAACACAAATCATCATAAAGAGAGCTGGACCTGCTACAATTAAGTCTCTTTGCATACATTTGTTTTAGACCAATAGCAAAGCATTTAACAGAACGCAAAGCCATTTGGAGCTGAGACAGGCCCATCTGGAGTTAAGTCCCTCCTTTTTGGAGTTGGTCCAGCCTGCAGGAAACTGGTAGCTCAGTGGCGTCTCATTCAGTGTAGTGTCATGTTGTTGTAGAATTTTTTTTTACATTGCTACGGTCTCTACAAACATGCCTTAACATAGTATGAAGTATGAAAAGTATGAAATAGTGAAGCCAGGCTAACCATGATAGCTGACATTCAAAAAGTATTTCTCGCTCCCGAGTGGCGCAACCGTCTAAGCGTTGGCCCTGTCATCAGGAGATCGCGAGTTCGATCCCTGGTGATGCTACAGCCAAGAGAGCACAACTGACCTCGCTCTCTGTGGGTGGGTGGGATGGCTGCCCTTCTCCCCCCATCACTCACTAAGCGCGATGCTAGTCAGCGCAGGCGTCTGTTAGCTGACGTAACAGATCTGGCGGTTGGCGCTTTCCTCCGAGCACGTTCGGCTGTCCAATGACGTTGCGTGAGCGGCAGCTCGAAAAGATCCGGTGGAAGCCTGTGTTAGCCTTCACCCTCCTAGCGTTGACAGCATCGTGTGATTGGGGGAGTCCTAACTAGCGGGGTGGAATTGGAGACGACTAAATTGGGGAGAAAATCGGGGTAAAAATAAATAAAAAAAAAGTATTTCTCTGTTCTCAATGTTACCTCGACAAGCCAACCACTGTGTCTCAATTCGCATAGTCCTGAAAAGGCTGAACTGAAATGAGATGGTCTACTCTGTGGCGAATTTCCTATTTGTGTCACAGCACCACTGTTCCCGCCCTTACTGGTGCGTCATGAAACTTCGCTCTTCTCAAGTTATTTGAAAGTTCTTTAAAGACGGAACCAGAAACTTTAAAAAACATTTTTTTTTATTTATTAGAGCTGGAGAGTGTTAGCATAAGTTTTGCTTCAGACCACATTGGGTTTTTTAACATCTGTATCTTTAGCTATTTGAATCAGTTTAAACCAAATACTTACATTTAAAAGTGTCTCCTCAGCCGCCGTTCACTCCTCTGCTGACACTGCCATGTTCTTGAATCTTTGCCGGCACGCAACGGACCTCGGGATATGTTGGCTGGCAAAGGATCCACCCGTTGTCATGGAAAAGAAGGACACATTTCTTGCCCACATATGAAGGAGCTTCGAAATGGGACAGCCTAGTTGTGCCCCTGTGCCTTCAAATGCAGCCTCCAAAGGACGCAGCCCCTGAACTGGGACACAGCGAACATGTTTCCACCTCGTGTAGAGAAGAGAAAATAATTTACCTTGTGTTGGAGACGATGAGGCATCTCATCTAACATTAAACTGTCAGCATTGGCTTATCTTCTGATTCAAACCACAGTGGTTAAAAGAGTTCCCTTTACATTTAAATGAACAAGGATGTTTGTTTTTGAATAAAGAACATCATGGGTGTCCACATATGGTAAGTTCTGTTCATAAAGGTGTTGCTGATATGCTTCTTCTTGAAGGAGCGTTCTAAAAAGCATTACTTTTTAAGCCAATATGAAGATGGCGAGGTCCACCAAGCGAGGATGGACAGAATCAGATCAGATTAGCTATGAATAATTAGGAAGTAATATTGGAATTAAATAATCATGTCCTGATTTATAATGGGTGTCACCAATTTTCTGAGAAGAAACCGTCACTCTAGGCCTTCTGGAAGTTCTAGATACATCACTGACTGCAATTACCACTGGTAGTCTAACCAGGTTTCAGTCAGTTGTAGTGGTGGGAAGTTTGAATCATTTTACTGAACCAGTAAAACTAGAAAGCTAACATGCTAACAGGCCAGTAATATTCAAATACAGAATTTAAATTCCGAATATTTGCTTCAGGACTAAGTTAAAAACTGCCACATGAATATTTGTTCAAACCTTCAGATATCCACGTTTATGTAGGGGTTTGGCTCTTTTGAGTTTTCAGCAGAACATATTAGAAACTGGCACATCTAACCAGTTCAACTGAGTGAACATGAACAGTTTTCCAAAGTACTACTAAGAAAATGCAGCTTTATTTAACACAGCAGCATGACACTTTCTTATGCAGTGCCATCTGAGGGCTCAAAGGCACATTCAGCAGTGGTTTCCAGCCTTGCCCCACACGGACTGAGATTTCTATGGATTCCCTGGATCGTTTCACAATATTATGTATGGTAGTTGGTAAAAGACCTAAACTCTTTACACTCTTGCATTGACAAATGTTCTTTCTGAACTGTTTGACAATTCTTTAATGAAGTTTGGCACAAAGTGGTGAGCCATGACCCACCTTCGCTTGCAAAGTCTGAGCCCTTGGTGGATGTTCCTTTTATACCCAATCATGATACCCTCATCTGTTACCAGTTCACCTGCTTATTCTGGAATGTTACAAAATAGTGTAACCTGGATACTGTATTAACTTTTCAGTCTTATTTTGCTCCTGTCCCAAATTTTTTTTGAGGGTGTCACAGGCGTCAAATTCAATATTTGTTTATATTTACAAAATACATTTAAGTTGCTTAGCCAAAACATTAAAAGTCATTTCTTATTTTATGAAAAGTTATATTTCTCACGTAATTTGGCAGTTAAATAAATATTCAAAAGAATTGAAAAGTCACAGATTCTTGTTTTTTTATAGGATTTGAAAAATCTCCCAACTTTTCTGGAAATGGGGTTTGCAGCCATGTATCTATCATGTGAGCTTGGGCACATTGCAAGAATTTCAAATGTTAAAACTGAGAAATTTCATTGTTTTTTGAAAAATATAAGCCTGTTTGGAATTTGATGCCAACAACACTTTTTCCAAAAAAGTTGGAACAGAGGCAAGAACTGAGTGTTTGAGGAGAAATGAGATTACAGATAAACACACAATACCCACCGGTAAAGTGCCCCCTGCTGGTCTGCTGTGGTGTTACATATTTTGGGGCATTTCATGGGTTTCTAGTTTCAAAAGTTCAAGTTCATTTTAGATCTAATTGACAAGCCAGTAGAAAGAAAATAATTGAAACCTTAACCGTTCTTTCAATTTGATTTAATAATGAGACATTTCATGGTGTACATGTTATGGGATGTATGTTTAAACCTAACTAGCCCTAACAAGGGTGAGCAACACGTCAAAATTACTTTTTGTCATTTGGCCAGGAGTGCCCAGACTTTTGCACAGCACTGTATACGCATACCTTTTGTGTTCAACTTGTTCTGAATATAGTTTGTTATTGGTGTATTGGACTACGAAAGACATGGTTTTTCGCTTTAACCATGTTTTTCAGGTAAAGTGGGGCAGTGCTTTAAGTCCATTTAACCACATTTTACTATATTAACACCAGTAGCATTTTCAGTAAAGAATCCTTCAGTAAGCCTAAATGTCACGTTATAAATATAGAACTGAATTAAAGACACATTTGCAGTTTGCATGAAATCACTTTTTTAATTGTTGTGAAACATGTTAGACATTTCAAATTTTGCTGAATAAACAGGCAGATTCTGAGAACAAGTTTGATGTGATGATTGTTGGATATCAGTGTTCACAGATTTCCTAAACAAAAAGCCCACTCTACCCAAACAATGGCATCACTAGTCTAACATTGCTAACATTTAGATGTTGTTTCACAGAGATGTTCAGCTGGCAATATATTGGAAGAACAGAGTGCCTGTGCTCACGGAGCACTGTGCATTATAAGACCCACTTAACACTACGCCTGAACAGGCGCCCAGGGAGGTATTAGCTCCGCTAGAGTTTACTCTCCACACCACCGTCCTTATGGTTGATCCGGGGTAGCAGCTGGAGAAGCTTAACACTCTACTATAACTGGGGTTGACTGTGCCTCTAATGGTCTCGGTGTTGAGGGAATAGCCGTTGCAGGTCACCTGGACGTACGTGTTGACAGCGGTGCTTGGCAGGTTACTGGCCCGGATGCTCGACACACGGACAGCAGCATCACTTAACAACGCATGAGATACCAGGACCAAGAAGGCGAGGTATATCAGACGAGGAGAGAAGGCCATGGTTTCGTCTGTGAAGAACAAGAAGATAAAATAAGATGAATCTTTAAAATCAAAAGTAATTTTTTCAAGTTGCAGTAAAGAATTGCCAGTTATTTCTCTTGTGAAAGAGCTCATTGTCTAAGGATCAATCAGCAAAGGAGAAATACAGGAGCCTGCAATGAGAAGCCACCAAGATAAGAGTTAAAGCCTACATTTGAATTTGAAGGCTGGAGTTTTGGAGCTCTGGATGAATGGACGAGTTGCAGCTCTTGGTGAGCAGCTTAGCTCAGTCCCAATTTAAAGAAGATCTGTTCCCAAGCCAACCTTGAGCTTATCTACAGTTAACCTAGTCTGATGTATTTCAGCCAATAAGAATGGCTCTGGGTGAATTAGAGTAAATATGCACTAAAACTCAGATATGAAACTAGATATCTCCTGTATTCAGGAAAAGTGTCAATTTTCTTTTTATGGGAAATGGGGCATCTGTTGTATGGAAATACGTGCGGATTACAAATGGAACTCAGCCATCTGACTAACAAATCCAGTGTGTGCAATACTAACAGGCAGCATGTGTGCTGACCATGAAAACCGTGTCATTAGAGGGTTGGACATGCCTGAAACTTTGCCTTCATCTCCTGGGTTGTAAAGGTATCATGAAGCTTAATTACACTCAGAATGAGGAACAGAGCTGAAGATGATTCTAAAATAATTGAAAAGCTGTTTATCATCAAGAACGAGGTTCTAATAAAATAAAAAGGCACATTATAGACCCCATTTAAGACTTTTTTTATGATATACACTGTTGGGAGTGGGCTTTGCACTTGTATTGGTATATGCCTAATTGTAGTATATTATTTATCATTTAATAAGTTCTTGGTCTCAAAGTACTTGGAACGCTGAATAATTCATCTACAAACATGCTTTAGTGTCTGTTTAAGAATGTTTAAAGTCCCAGGGAACATTTTTAAAATATTAAAAATGTGTATGATAATAAAATTTAAAAGTGCTGTATTAAATTTCCCATCATCTGGGCGTGACAGCCAACAGTGCAAGCCTTTCAGCCTGCTACACCATCCTCTAAAAACATTATCCAGCTTTTATACGTTGAGGAAGGTGAGGTTCTTATTGACTTTACTGGTGTGGCTGATGGACGAAAAGATGTTCTCGCTAGCTCAGTTATGTTTTCTAGGTTAGCTTTCGCTTGGTGGTTAGCTTTCTCACCAAATCAACACAGAGATTGTAGAGGAGTACCGTTTTTTTAAGATAGGTCGGGGGAGGGGGTACACAATTTGATGCCTGCAACATACTCAGAAAAGTTGACACTTTTTAATCATTTGGGACCCGAGGATACTAACTGTTGCAGTTTTGTTTCAGCAAGACAATACCAGGCCTCATTCTGAATGAGCTATAGCAGCTTGGCTTTGTAGACCCAGAGTGCGTATGCTTGTCTGACCTACCTGCAGTCCAGATCTGTCTCCTATTGAAGTGAATGGTGCATCATGAAGATGAAAATCGGACAACGACAACAATACACTGTTGAGCAGCTGAAGATTTGTAACAAGCAAGAATGGGCAAAATTTCCACTTGCAAAACTGCAACAATTAGTATCCTCAGTTCCCAAATGATTAAAAAGTGTAATTGAAAGGAAAGGTGGTGTAACACAGTGGTAAACATGCCTCTGTCCCAACTTTTGAGTGTGTTACAGGCATCAAATTCTATATTTGTTTATATTTGCAAAATACAAAGTCATTACTTTGCACTTTTGTCAGTTAAATGAAGGTTCAAGAGAATTAACAAATCTTAGGCAATAAATCTTAGGAATTAACATTTTAGGCAATGTCCCAATGTCTGGAAATGGGGGTTGTAGTACGTGCTGCCATGTATCCATAAAGTGTAATTGGCCACGTTGCAAGAATTTATTTAACATTGATGAGAGCTGTAGCATCTGGTGGACTGAGAGAAGAAACACATGGTAGTCCAACGCAAACGTAAAGTAGGCTTCTTCCTCATGGTCAAATAATAAATAGTACTAATAGGACAAATAGTACTAATATTACTATTATTAATACTGATACTAATGATAGAAATGTATTAATAGAAAGATATAATAAAGCAAGCCCAAGATTAAAGGTTAAAACGATCATAAAATTAAATAAAAATGTAAATATAACACACTGGCCCTTATCC